AAAGCATGCAATCATGGCATAATGAAGGCAAACACTCTATCAACTTTGTATGCAGTAAATACTTTTGTGATACACGGATGTTTGAAAATCAACAAAACTTTATGAGAGAATGCAGCCCATTTTGCGAAACTTGAAAAACTTTTGCCAAATGACGCAACATACATCAATAGAAAATAAGATTTTAAACACAATGATATTACTAAAAATTTAAGTACTCTCATCATGTTCAAGAATTCTTTACTCAGTTTTCATCTATTTTACAAAGTTTAGTGAAGTTTATTGCATCTCACAATTGAGAAAAAAATTGAAAAAATTATATATTGTAGAAAAAGTATAAAGTAAACAATTTGTGTTCCGAAATCTAAATTGGGCGTTCAGCCCGTTGTACCTTAAATTAAATATTTACCTAATGGCTCTTAAAAGAACTGGTGATCCCTTAGTCTGAGTAGTGGGCACACTTGCAAGTAAGATAACCTCAGCAAAGATCAACAGAAGATTAAAGCGACTGAGCAGACAACACAAGTACACTACACTGACTTCAGTACAGTTGCTATGGCAAATTTGAGCATGCACATTTAATTGCAAAATGGCGTCTAAGAAAGAGAGGGGTGTGATAGATCACACCCAAATAATTAGTTTTTAAACTTGATCTAAGTTAAATAATGAAAGCACTTGTCTTGTCCTTGACCCAAGCTCAAAGGAATAATATAAAAGCCATCACAAGAGGCTGTCTAGTTTTAAAAATTTCAGTGTTGATAAAAGATGAAAGAAGAAAAAAGTCAGAAGAATTTTGCAAATATTTAAATTTGGGCCTATTCTCTAGAATTGCTTATGCTACATTGCGGCCCATTTTAAAGGTACCAGGAGAATTGCTCAGTGAAGGAGAGCTCATACAAGCCATTTATAAGGCTGTACAACATAAGATGAAAGTGTTATATAAGCGTTTACTGCCATTTTGAAAAATCAACCTCCATCCTACATAGAGGCTACCGCCTATATAATATTGTAGATTTCAAAGTTGCTCGTGCATGGGCATAATTTCTCCAAACAAATGTCAACAAAGGAGCATTTTTCCGGTCGGTTGCGTCTCGGCTCAAACAATAGGCTATAAAATGCACAAAATACCTGTGTATAAAAGATTTACACTTGCAATATAATTTAAAACTAATTTTCACTTGTAATGAGTGTAACCACATCGAGTCCCCAGAAAAGAAGAAGGAAGGCTTTCTTTTCTTGTACTTCCAGAGCAACAGCTCAAGCGGTGGGTGTGGCTAAAATTTTTT